AAATTGTGTATTCCCTTTTAAGTTTTATTGCACGTATGAATACTGACCTATATTATGCGTTTTCCGGTGATCGGTTTACAAACGACCAGAGGAAATGGCCTATTTAATTTTAAGGAATTTAATGACTACGCGTTTACGACATAACCTAAACAAATACATTAAGCGAACGTGGCACAGGGTAATGGGTTGCACCTGAATTCGCTTCCTCCGATGTACAATATACATGTATTATCCATTAGAAACACTTGCAACACTACGCATAAAACTAAAAAAAATGCTTGGAGACACTTCAGCAAAATACATACATTAAAAAGCATGTTTTCATTAAAAAAATAAAACTGTCAGTGGGTCTAATAATACAAAAGAAATTGAACGCTATTTTTATTTTATAGAATAACAATCTAATGCAAATTTGTCTTTCGAGATGACCGTCGTCTGAGATTATTGCAGAAATTAATAAAAGGGGTGCCCCTGGGTGGTGCCATGAGATACTTCCCGATTTCATGCTCTAGTTTCTCCGCCAGAGGACGTCAATCTTTAGCATACGTCAAATACCTTAGGCATCCACGCGTGGCATGTACAGCGCGTGGATTGTGTAACGGGGTCGGTGCATTCTGACGACAAAAGAAGGAAGGACGCGCCAGGACGTTCCTACGCACTCTAAGTCACTTCGATCCCTTTACACGGAGCGTGGATCGTCAATACACGCGCCATATAAAGGCTGTTACATGACGCGTGGATCGGCATTCTACGCGCCGTGTATACGGCTGTTACATGACACGTGGTGCGTGGATCGGCATTCTACACGCTGTGCAAAGGCTGTTACACGGCGCGTGACGCGTGGATCGTGGACCGGCATTCCAGGCCGTCCGAACCCGTTACACGGAGCGTGGATTGGCAATCCTCATCATTTCTGTACCGAACTCCAAAAAAAAAATGTTTTTTTGCGATTAAGCAATTTCAGGTACTATAAATTTATTATGGTACACCCATAAGTTTACTACTTTGAACATTCATTTACATACTTATGCAGTAAATCGTAATTTTTATTACAGTCTTGAAGGTCGCTAGGTGCATTTGAGTATAGGTGAAAATGACAATTTATTAAAAAAGTAAACTCAATTAACATGCTGCATGTAATAATCATAAAATAACATATATTGTTTGTTTCTACATATTAACCAAATAACCAGCACAATTTACTAAAATTATTAGTATTCTCAGAAAACAAAACACCGGCTAATACCTTTTATAACTGCTTATCGGGTTGTAAACACAACTTATTATCGCAATTAATATAGGCACGATAAAATTATTGAAGATTCAGGATTGAAAAAAAATAATTGCAGGACAAGAGTAGGAATATAATTGACATGAGTGGACAACGCAAGGTCGATTTAAATTTTATGCCTGATGAGGATGGCAGTCGCTACCGAAACGTTGTGTTAATTGTAAGAAATAGTTAATAGCTCAATAAATAAACCATTACTAATTAAAAAAAAAAAAAAATGGACAGACACATCTATAAGTAAAGAACTATTTTCTGTATTTGTTTTTTAATTTTAGGTTTAGTAGTTTCGGAGAAAAGGGGGAGGGGAATGGTTAATTTTCATCTATTTTCTTAAATATCGTTAATACTATTTGTCGAAATGGTAACCCTATATCTTGCTAGGATTACACGTAGGATATCTCGAAATAGAAATAGCATAGGAAAATACTGACAAATTAGCGACAATGTATTTAGTTCCTTTAGTATTCTTCGGTTGGTATATTTTGCTTTTTCTCGTAAACAATTTTCTGTATAACAATTAAACTTATCCCTACTGTTTTTGTTATTGTTTCTCGAATATTGGATGGGAAATTTCCTCTTTCCCTTTCATTATCGCAATAATTAATCAAATGTAGGGATGGAGTTCCAAATGGGACAGCCTTCTATTGCCTTCCTTTATGGACTAGATGATGATATCTAAAAGGATTTTTGGCGACTCGAACCGGATGGGGTGATAATGCATAATAGGGGCTGCAAATTATTTATCTATATAGGGTGTCCCAGTTATAATAATTAATATTTATACCACAGATTCCTACATATATATCAATATTTGGAACATAAAATGTTATAACACTTTTGACTTTTGAAACAAAATAAAAAAATATAAAATTACAACAGTTTTGACGCCGGCCCTGCACAATCGCAAATTAATTACGATTGCCAGCTGATCGTAGAAAAATTCACCTTCAGTGGGTGGAATCAGCTGGTTTTTGGGGTGATGTTATTGTTTATGTTTGGTATTAAGTTACGTTGAGCCGAAGAAAATGCACTCGCGTTAGGGTCCATTAGATGACTGAAACATGTTAGAAAAACTACGTACCCATCACAATCGACAATCCCATGATCGTAAACTGAAGTGGACCTAATGTAGCCCATGACGTCGAGTATTATGTTATTTTAAATAGAAAAGAAATTTTAACAACTACGGAATAGTTAGATGCGGTGCACAAACAACCTTCACCACCCAGCGTTTGGTAAAGGTTTGTAACATAACCTACTAGTGTACGAAAACAAATGTATGTGTTATGGTTGTAAAAGTTGAGACAAGATGCAGACCTACTTTGACCATTCACATGTGTTAAACGTTACTTTTGCCTGGCAGGGCTCATTAACCCCAAGTGGGGTAATGCAAGGATGTGTCCAGAAGGACCAAGTTGGTTATTTTGTTTTCATTAAATGTAGAAAGCTAAATATTTATATATCCTCGTATAATTACACTGCTGAAAGTGACTCGAAAAAAACACACATAATGTTGTAGTTTCTAACAGGTTGTTCAGTTTGTTTTGGATTGTTGTGGAATTTAGTTTGTTAGTGTTAGTTTATTTATTTAGTGGTCTTTTCATAAAAGACTATTACAATAAGGACAATTAGTAGTTCGATAGTGCATTCTAGTACGGTTCTTCTTCAGCCGTCAGTTGTTGGTGAGTTACATTACCAATGCCTATCGTATAATTCAAAATATTCCCGGTATCTGTGCCAAAATTCGCAGCAACTGGGTACGTCGCTGTCAGTGTTGCATTGAAGCGAATGGCGGACAATTTAAACATTTTTTTTTAAAAGGTACCTATTTCTTTTTCACATTTACCTTTTTTTTACAAAGTGCATTCGGCTTCTTCCCAGTAGGTACTTGTTACATCCCCACAAGATCAGCTGAGTGACGTTAGGCCTGAATGAAACAAATTGTACGTTCAAATTTACAAAGACGATTTGCGAGCTCAATTGTCACTGGATTGAAAAATTGTATAACACTTTTTTGTTGTATTTTGTGTCAGGAAGCTAGGTTTTTTTTTAATTATTATAACTGGGACACCCTGTAGCATAGTTACAATGCTCGCCGGGTAAGCGTACAACTACTTAATCGAATATAGAAACGGACTGTTACCCCTGCTACTATTTCTATCATTTGCAGCTAGTACAAACTAAGCATAAAACTGAATTTCAGCAGCGAGTGGATTTTGGCCAATTGCTTCGAAAGAAAAGTGCTACCTACCCTAATTTTTTCCATATTAGGGTGTTGTTTAAAGACAAAAAGGTAACGCACTTTGGGTCAATGGTGCCGTAGAAATTTGCTTTTATAGAATTATAATTCCCCAAATGACGCTTCTTTAAGAACTAATGTTTTGATTACTTAAATTTTTTTTTTATTTTGTATTCGTACATTTACATGGTGTTGCCTGCAATGTACTTATTTAATTTATTTAGTACGTATAGTATTAAATTGTTTATGTTTATCTTAGACGTTCGATAATCAACCATGTTTACATTCTTCATCCATGTAGCTGTAGTTTTTATCGCACTACGATATACGGTAGACACCTATGTCGAGAATCACACACAGGACCGGCTTCGGCTCCGGCTCTTTTGTTGCCCTTAACCACGCTATTGAACTCACCGTGTGATTGTCTATATTACATCTAGTTTACACTTTCGATAGCTTCGCACTTATTTTTGTTACTTACAGCCTGTATTAAACATATTACAATCATCTTTGTCGGATTAAATAATTCATATTATAATAAATAGGTAGCATTATTTTACAATATGAGGACGTGCACTGGTTGTCATAGTAGGTACCTAAGTTATAAATCATTTAAACATTATTTTATCTTGTGGAACAGGGACAAGAATGCATAAACAGCTTTTATTATTACTGTAGCTGTCTTTTGGGTAATAAAAGTCTATTTTTATGCAGCTAGGTAACATTATATTATTAGCAAAAATTGTTTACCAATTTGCTAACTACATGTGTAAAAAAATTACCAGGTGCGAAAAAACCGTTCATGAAGGTAAAAGTAATATTTACAAAGACGGTTTGTCATAGATACATGCATAGCTACAAACATACATAAAGGTAACAGTATTATTTTATCTGCGTAAATATATAGACAGATTGATAAGGGAAATACCTTGAGCTTATCTCTGCAATTTTATTTCGAGAATCAGGACGCAATTGTATACAATAAACAGCAACAGTCTTTTGCACATGGAAAATAAGTAAAAATAGTTATGACAACTAACGATCGTAAGTGCGTTATATACGAATAAAAAAAAGAATCAAAACTATAGCTCATAAAAAATGCCCACGATTAGTTTTTGCATTCAGTTAGATATAATATTTCAAATATACAGTCTCAACTGCAGAATATTTATGTAGGTATGTACCTAGGTACAATTTTTTGTGAAATAAATTTATTTTCACAATGCAAAAGTTACTTATATGAAATATAAATAACAAGTTTCGGTGATATATAAACAAAATTGAAATACCTGCTGCGTACTCCTGACATTTTTAGATGATTACAAACACATAAATTTTATTGTACCTGCGTTTACAGTAATAAAAACTGTTACATATGCTCTTATTATTTACTTAAACCTTGGTCAAGATGCTTAGTGCATGCGTATTTGGCACATTCGAAATCCAGTTAATTAATCAAAACAAACTTACCGAATGTCAGCTGCAGAAGCAGAATAGAAAAGTAAATAAAACGATAACAGCTCATCTTGTCAGTCTTGGTTGCACAAATTTTCGAAAATGTTCACAATACGGAGGCCGGTTAGAGCCCCAAAAGTCTACTTTCTAACATAATTGCACTGAAAAACGCCGGTTTTTTCGCGCACACCACGTTGAGGTTAAGTTATTATTGTATCTGTTCCGTTAATACACACGCTACATTTACGACACCACTCAGTCAACTGGCCGCGGCTAATGTTGTCGGTCGAATAGTCTGTCTTGCCGCAGCAAGCGGAAAGTGGTCTGTTTTAGTCCGCGAGTCGGCTGCGACGGCAATCCAAGATTACGCAATAAATGCACGATGAATGGGTTGCGAACCTGCAGGCGCCTTATTATTATTAAAGAATCCCTTGATTGTTGATGTACCTACCGCAAGCAACTGAGAAAGAACTTGCAACAATGAAAAACGGCTAATCACTGCTCGATGTTCATCACAAATATCGACATGTCAACCAATCGCGTTTCTTACCCGTTCTGGCACTTTGTAATCGGGATCAGCAAGTCGACTGTTGCCTCTGCCTTGCCTAGTTGTCTGCATAAAGTAATAAATAGCGTGATCCTTAGGGTGCAGCGTTTCACCTGCAGTCTTCTATTAAGCGATGAGCGATCCATTAGCGGATTGTGTTGTGATTATCATGTTTCATAACTGCTTTTGCTTACATTAGGCGGCGATCCGTTCTTTCCTTCAACATAAGAAGTTTTCATGTAATTCAATGAGAAATATAATAAACCAAAGTTTTTGTAAAAATATTGTTTTTTTTTTATTATTTCACTACACATATATGTGCCTACATTACATAAATATTAAGCGATTGTGTCAATTTTGTTTTTTTTTTTTTTTAAAAAGTATTTTTTTGAATGTCAATAAGTCTTTAATTCATATTAGAAACAGAGTTCTGCAGATTTTCTAGAAAATTTTTGACCCCCAAGTGGTAGCTGTTACATCATTCCTAATTAGTGATAATTTCTTTTTCCGAGAGGTAATTCGAGCTAATTCCAGTTACCGTGTATGTACCCTACTAATGTTAGATATGTGGTATGATTTACGTAAATATCAAAAACTATGAGATTATAACATATTTCATAATCTTAGAAATATTTTGAGATATTGTTCATCATCATCATAAGGTCGTCAGGCCTAAGACTGGTTGGACACGTATCTCCACTCTTTCCTATCCTGCAACTAATCTTCTCATTTCCCTAAAGCTAGAACAACCCATATCCTTAAACTATTTGAGAACAGTAATCTAATCTAGGTCTACCTCTACCCCTCCTAACTTCCGTTAACGCAAATTTAATCCACGTCCGACCTCCCCGCTCCCACGTAACTGGACCATTACAAGTAGGGTTGCCACCTTTTCAGGCATCACATAAAGTATTTTTCGATTAAATGGTTAAAAAAAAAAGTACTCGGCATAAAAATAAAGTATTTTATTTTTTGTTTTTAAAAACATATTTTTTTGTTACACCTAGCAGCCAGTAACAAATTGCTGTTGCTCTTAAATACATTATTAGCCTCTAAACATGGCAAACAAAGATTTAAGTAAACTAAAAGTTCATTTTTAATTAGTTTTAATGAAGCTTTATTCCTGTCGTCCCGTCCCTTTGCGTTCATAACAGAGAATACTCTTTCTGTAAATGCTGAATTAGCCGGAACGGATAGCAAAAGTGACACTACTTTGACCAGATTTGGGAAATCCGGTTGTTCCGTAAACTTGGCTTGCCATTTTTCTATGCAATATTATTGATGTAAAAATACTCTGAATTTCGAATAATCGCTTACAAAATTACCATGGTTACCTAAGACCTTAAATAAAGTATTTTTGCGTACATTATGTGTCTTGTAAAGTATAACGTACGCACAGTCGAAATAGAGTACAGTACTTTATAATAAAGTACGGGTGGCAACCCTTATTAAAAGTGACTTGACCCTTCCCTCCCTTCATCACTTCGTTAGGTAACGCGTGCCATGTTAGTGTAACTTTTAGGGGTTAACAAAAAAATTTTTTTCGTTTTCGTTTCCAATAATTATTCAATTTTAAACAGATTTTAAAATTGTCACGTAACGTAAACTTTAACAGCCCCTTGTCACAGGACCCTAACGTCAAGCTGGACTCCCCTTCCTCTCAATTAGTGTTACATAACTAATGGTTCCTACGCATTAACGAAAAACTTACCTAATACATCTTTATTATTTTTTTATAGGACCGTTTGATGCCTGAAAAGAAAGAAAGAAAACATATAGTGTAAGAATACATCTGGTTTATTGGTACATTGTATTCGCCGTACGATAAAAAAAATGTCCCATTTATGGGGTACCTAAATGCATTACAATTCTTTAAATTGAAAATTAAGATAATTAACACGTCTTTGATAGCTGGTAAAATAGGAGTTTCGCTTTTTTCTTTTAGTCAATAAGAAACAGGCGAGATAGGTTGGTAGGACACCTTGCAAGACATGAAGGTCTAGTCAAAGACATATTAGAGGCAGAAACGGGACGGAGAAGGAGTAGAGGTAGACCTAGATTAGATTACTGTTCGCAAATAGTTAGAATGTGGGTTGTTCTAGTTTTAGGGAAATGCGAAGATTATCTGAGGAAAGTAAAGAGTAGAGATGCGTGTCCAACAAGTCTTAGGATTGACGACCTTATGAAGATGATGATAATTATAATGATTCGTGCTCGGATTGGTTGACTGATGATTGCCTTGTAATTACTCATGGACTAGATTGAATATATGTATATTAAACGGGAAGTAGATTCAGGATAATAACAATGGTTCGCCGTAAAAGAAAATATAAATTTGAAGCATTAATTCCTCAATAATTAAGGATTCTGTTAAAAAAACATTTTTTATAGAATAATTTCTAATTCTGCAAACATTCAAGCATTTTTGTTTTAGTTTTCTATTCAGTTATTAGGGCTCACATGTATATTATCATTTATTATAAAAATAGATAGGTAACAAATCAGAAAAATTACAATATCGAGAGATTCGTCAAAATACAGCAATTATGGGGCTCAAAACTGACGAATGCATCCATCAATTTGCCTGTCAACAGCTAATATTCGTCACATTAACGCAGAAGTTATTATGTCTCGTCACAGTTCGTTAATAAGAAGTAAGTAATAAAGATAAAAGTTAATAAGTGTCAAAGAACCACTGTTAAGGATTGTTTTACAACATACTTTTAATGATTTATTAGTATTAATGACAGTGGCGGATCCTAATAAAATGACTGTTCTATAAACGTTTAGCCACATTGTAGCTGTAACCTTCTTGTTGATACTATCAATTTTTGTTACATATAATTTTTCAGTGGAAAGCTATCAAATAACCTTGGAACGCAAAGAACGGCATGGCCTTGGCTGAAAAGTTCTCAAACTTATTTCGTTTCTAGTGCGTTGAGTTCAATGTTGATGTTTTATTTCCTTTCTAATTTTGATTAAGTGCGAGGAGGTTTTATTTGGCTCGATTTCTTTTCTAGTTGTTGTACTCCCTGCATTTGTTTCTTGTCCTTTATATTCCCAGAGTTTCCCATAAAATTACCCTCAAAATAATAGACGTTGTGCTGTGCATTTCGTGCCTTTTGTGGAGAGTTCCAGGGCGCAATTAAAGCATATTCACCATTCTGGTGCGAATACTGCAACTCCCACAGCTTGAAAATTGACTATACAGGGTGTCCTATTTATAATAATTAAAAAAAAAACATGGCTTCCTGACACAAAATACAACAAAAAAGTGTTATAAAATTTTTCAATCCAGTGACAATTGACCTCGCAAATCGTCTTTGTAAATTTAAACGTATTTTGTTTAAATACGGGCCTGGATCTAGGCGACTAACGTCGCTCAGCTGATCTAGTGTGGATGTAATAAGTACCTATCGGGAAGAAGCCGAATGCACTTCCACCTTGTAAAAAAAAGATAAATGTGAAAAAGAAATGGGTACCTTTCAAAAAAATGTTTAAATTGTCCGGCATTCGCTTCAATACAACACTGACAGCGACGTACCCAGTTGCTGCGAATTTTGGCACAGATACCGGGAATATTTCGAATTATACGATAGGCATTGGTGATGTAACTCACCACCAACTGACGGTTGAATAAGAACCCTACTAGAATGCACTATCACACTACTATTTGTCCTTATTGTAATAGTCTTTTATGAAATGACCACTAAATAAATAAACTAACACTAACAAACAAGTAAATTCCACAACAATCCAAAGCGAACTGAACAACCTGTTAGAAACTACAACATTATGTGTGTTTTTTCGAGTCACTTCCAGCAGTGTAATTATACGAGGTTATATCAATATTAACTTGGTCCTTCTGGACACATCCTTGTATTACCCCACGTGGGGTTAATGAGCCCTGCCAAAAACTAACATTTAACACATGTGAATGGTCAAAGTAGGTCTGCATCTTGTCTCAACTTTTACAACCATAACACATACATTTCTTGTCGTACGCTAGTACGTTATGTTACAAACCTTTACCAAACGCTAGGTGGTGAGGGTTGTTTGTGCACCGCTTCTAAATATTCCGTAGTTGTTAAAATTTCTTTTCTATTTAAAATAACACAATACTCGACGTCATGGGCTACATTAGGTCCATTTCAGTTTACGATCATGGGATTTTCGATTGTAATAGGTACGTAGTTTTTTTAAAATGTTTCAGTCATCTAATGGACCTTAACGCGAGTGCATTTTCTTCCGCTGATCCGTAACTTAATACCAAACATAAACAATAACATCACCCCAAAAAGCAGCTGATTCCGACCTACTGAAGGTGAATTTGTCTACGATCAGCTGGCAATCGTAATTAATTTGCGATTGTGCAGGGCCGGCATCAAAACTGTTATAATTTTATAATTTTTTATTTTGTTTCAAAAGTTAAAAGTATTATAACATTTTATGTTCCAAATGTCCGTAGGAATCTGTGGTATAAATATTAATTATTATAACTGGGACACCCTATATAGGGCGCCTTTAGTAACTGCCTGTGATATCAGAAGTCCAAGAAAATCAATGCTCCATAGTCCATACAGTCTATTTAAATATATTCTTAGTAGCGATGAGTAAGATTGGTCTTTGTCTTGCAGTCTTATTCTCTATCTTACGAAAATGTTCCGGTTCCCTAAGTCATTGAAACGCACAAGTCGATCCACCTACTCTAGTTTGTACAAGAGCTTCATGAAGGTTCAAGTCCCATCGGATCGATTAATAATAATTGCATCATATTAATTATTTTTGGCGTAATATATCTGTCACCTACGCATGTACTTATAAACGAACGCTAGTAATTAAAAAGCCAAGTTATAGTTTCTTTTCGGTTCCATAGTTAGATAAAAAGTCATTAATGTTACTTGCATGTGTATTTCGCTTAATTAAGATGATTTAAAGGTACAGGTACTTAAATGGAATACTAAGAAATAGCTAATGAGAGTAATATTAACATGTAACAGCATGGAGCAAACGCCATCTGCTGGTTGTAATCATGTAACTACTTATAATTATGGTGTTTAAAATAACAAAAATCAATTATTCAATGTGCGTCACATTCCTAAACTAGGTATGCTTCAGATGAAAGTACGGCCTACCCTGAAAGTAAGTCCCATAATTTTAAAGAATGGTTTTAATAGGGAGTTGCAGTTGCAAGACGTAGTAAAGTGCTCCGAGT